AAGATCAATGCGAGTGTTTTATGTGTGTGGAAATTTAAAGGATCTGCAAAGGAGGTGCGTTTGAAGTGGCTTTGGACAAAAATCTCAAAGTGTGCAAGAGGAGAGGAGAAGAGTGGCGAGAAGGAAATAAAAAATGTGGGCGGGGTGAGGTGAGGCGAAGGGAAAAACCAGCCAACAAAGAAAGGCAGCATAGTTTCTAGCACTGGAAAGATTTAGTCCAAGTTAATTTGACAGAGAAAGAGTCTCACAACATTCACATTAAAACCACACGGCTCCCAAAATACCACCACCCCGAGAGTGCTTTCCCATCAGGCATGTGGGGGATGACAGAAGAAGAGAGAGGTGGGGGGCACATTCCTGAAATCTAGCTCATCCCAAATAAAAAGGAAATAAAAGATGGACATGAAATTATTTATTTTCCTCCTTTCTTGTACATGTCCCTCATTGCTGGGCTCACCTACCAGACAATACCTGTCCCGTGAGAAACATGTATTTACTCCTACGCATGCACATAGAGAGAGAGAGAGGGGGGGGGGGGATGGACCACTGGTAGTCATCCATCACACAGGTGTTCCCTATTGCTTTTAATTAATGACGTCTCCATGCGAGCGTCTGGACGCCACACACACACACTTTCAAACCCACACGTCGCTACGCAAACCAGGATCCATTCACCCGTACACTATGTGGCCTTATTACTCGTTACTAATGAACAGCTGATCGCTGTGTCTATATAACGGTCACCATGATCGCTGAGCCTGTGTGGGAACTTTTACTTTCTGTGTGTGCAGGGGAACAAACGCACATCACACAGTGGCAGCTGACATACGTAGCGACGGTGCGAACGCCTATGATGGATGTGTTGTACACACACACACACACACACACACATAGAAACACTGGCGGGGCGTGCATGTTGTTGTGAGTGAGTAATACTCCGCTTTGTGCAGATATTCATAAATGTAAATGTTGTTGTCCTAAATGGAGCTGGGAAACAGATAGGTTTGTGTTGCTGTCGAGGGGAGGGTTGATTGGCCTGCTTAATCCTCTCGTGTGTTTCCCTCCCTCCCTCCCTCCCTCCCTCCCTCTCTCTCTCTCTCATGCACACACACACACACATGCACTAGGCCTGTCTTATGGCGTCTAATGTGAGAACTTGTGTGGATCAGGGCACTGGCCAAGCATTATTATGCATTATAATTATGATGACCCTCCTCCCCTTGCTCCATCATAGTTCAACACAAAATCTTCCCCTCTCCTCTAACCGGTCCCGTAGCATTTTATATTTCGCTGCCTCTCCCTTCTCGTATTATTGCATTATTTCTCTCCTTCCCTGCATGACGTGTCTCTGCACACTCTGACGAGCTGGATGAATATAAAACAAGTTGGAACTCTGTGTCGATTACCCCACACGCGCGTACATTTATACGAGGAGGATATTCTGCTGGCCTCATTCCAGTGGCATGCATCGAGGTGACAGTGTCATTGATACACACACACACACACACACACACATGCAAAGACACCGTCTAGAAGTGCTCATGCCATGCAAATATACAACTGATAAATTAAGAGATACCACCAGATATCTATTATGCAAATCAGTTACCTGCTGTGTTATTAGATGATACACATGTATACACACACGCACACTCGTGCGCGCACACACTCACACAGCGGTGGTTAATTGCCAGGTGGTGGAAGATAATGTGTGATTTAACGGACTGATGGATTTGTTTTTGTTTCGGTCACCCATCAATGAACAGAGACATCTGTAACAGCGCCAACACACACACGCTTAAATTCTCACACACACACACACACGCGCACACACACACACACCATTATACACACGTTGAAGCCCAGGGATATCAGTGACAAGTGACTGATAGCAGTGGCAACAGCCATTGTGTAAGGCACGAACGCAGGAAATGATCCATCTTCGCGAAGTTAAAAAAGTACACAGCCGCGTGTGTGTGTTTGTGATAATCGTAGATATATGTGCACATGTGCAGGTGTAAGCGTGCATGCCTGTGTGTGCGTGTTTGTGTGTGTGTGTGCGTGTGTGTGTAAACAGTTAATCCTTGGTAACAGTCTCAGCCTGTCTCTAGTGGTTGATGAGTGGCTCGGGGTCAGAAGCTGCTTGAGAAACTGCAGGGTCCTGAGGCTTTACAATGTGTTTACCACTCAAACTGACAGCTATACTACAGCTTATTATTGGCCTTCTAAACCTCCACACTGCACTGTGAGTTAGAGAAACTCCAGAGAGGCACATTGCCAACGGCGGGAGACACGCCAGCCAACCCTACAAATGTGAGATGTTGTGGTGTCGAGTGCAGAGATTCAGATAAATGCTGGAAATGGGATCTGTGCCGTCGGAGGAAAAAAATAGCTCGGAAGTATATGAAAGGATGGATTAGACAGGTTATCCAGCAGTTTATCTGGCCTTTGCGCGTCACTGTCCATGGCCCCTTTGTCTCCTAATTCAATAATTGAAAAAGTTATCCCCACTCACTGCTCATACATTGTCATTGTGTATGTGTGCACTGAGGAAGGGAAACAGAGAGAGAGAGGGAGAGAGACAGAGAGAGAGAGAGAGAGAGAGAGAGAGAGAGATGGGGGGAGATCAAGGATGAGCCAGGTCCACTGAGATGCAGTGTTCTTTAATTAACCACAGTCTTTTATAAAAGACACACACACACTAAGACTCACACTGCAGGGGCTGAGAATATGCTGCCGTTGGGATGAGAAGCGTACTGGCAGTGAACGTGTGGAGAGACCGCGGCGCTCTGCAGTACTCGGGTCCTGGACAGTCGGGTTAAAGGTTAGGATTCTCCCCACTGCTGAAAAAACCAACTGCAACCTTTTCTTTTTTTTCTCCTTTAAACACAGTCTGAGTGTACAGCAGAAAGCAGCTGACAAATGACTTAATTAGTGTACATTCTACCAAGGTTAGTGCTGCTCACATTACGTCGAGCTGATTGTACCGAGGTCCCGGGTTCACCTCTTCCCTTTATGCCTTTGAGCGATTCTTTTCCACATTTTTATCTAAATCAACTCGTCTCCGATATGGAAGCCGAAGGTGGAATTTCATTAGCATTTATTATAGAATTGTTACAGGGAAAAAAAAAAATTGAATATAATATAGAAAATTGAAAATGAGCACTCTCCACACTGACAAAAGAAATATCAGCTAGAATGTATTAGCAGCGACTGTGCGCGCAATATTAGTTTATCTAAAAATGTACAGGAAAATAATTTTCTCACATTCAGGAAAACTAATATTGTTTACAGTATGGTACCACAACCGATGACCTTATGTTTTCCGCTCCTGTCGTGTTACGCAGTACATCACGTGTAGTAATTCTGCTGTGATGCATAAACTCACTTGCTTCTCTTAGTTTTATTTCACGCTGTAAACTAAAATCATTGGCCTGGAGTTATTATCAGCGGACAGAATCATTGATCCTCCTACTGCCAAAAAAACAAGTGCGTTTTCTGAGTTTTCATTTTGTTTACTGCTTTAATAAGTGCAGTCTTAAAATGTGAATCAGTATATATGCGTGACTGCTCATCTTGGGGGCCTAGTAAATTGTGCTGAAGAGGTAAATACCACAAACTGAGATGTTTTAAGGGCCAAAATACATCCTACACATAGACAGGAGTCACTGCAAGATGGAGAGCGAAGAGGAAGGTGTTTAGTTTGTGACATGCGCTCTTGCGCACCTAAAATCTAGGTTGATTGTTGCGTTATTTTGTTGTATTATTTAGAAATCATAATTCATTAGATCACCCAGCTTGCTGAATTGCTAATTATAAGGATATCTTGAAAATTGGCCGATATGTCACGTCAAATCCGGCATTTAATTGCAAATTAACAACATTTAATCTGCAGATTTTGGGCAGAAGAGAAGAACCCCGTGGATGTACAGGGTGGGACATGTGGAAACGCAGCTAATACAACATAAACGTACACAAGACTTGACTGTGAATTGTGGGAAGAGACATAAGCCTACAGTGTGTTACAGCAGACTGACGCTACATTCTTAAAGGATCCAGCAGCAGAGCCATGGACTCACGAGGACAGTATGAAAAAGGCAGCTTTCTTTAAAAAAAAGAGAGAGAGAGAAAGGAGGGGAGGGAAAAAAAAAGCATTTTCACTTGAATCAAGATCGGGGTGAGGAGCGAGGGATTAGAGAGGATAACAAAAAGGCCAGCGGACTGAGTGTAAACAAGAAAAGGGGGGTTAGAGAGGGATAGAAGGAGAGAGCAAGTCGGAGAGTGAGCGAGAAGGAGAGATTGAATAGTGACACTGCTACAACACAATGGGGTCAGGATGAAGAAGTGCTCCTAATTGAACCAGATAGAGAAGACAGAGACAGAGCCCTGAAAGACTGAGAGAGGAAGGACAGAGGATGACTCTCTGTCCTTTTCTTTCTATGCTCCCCGGCCATGCATGGATGAAGGTAGAGGAGAGGGGAGGAAAAAAAGGAGGGGAGCAATTGAAGAAATAGGAACGTGCACAGATTGACGCTGGACTGAGGAACAGAGACTAAAATATGTCCGACTAGTTGTGCAGGTGAGGGTGTTGAAAAGATGGTTTGGAGCCACCTTGACTTCACAGTAGGGGTCTGACGGAGCAGTTTTGAGGCTCAAAAACAGCTTCACCCTACAGGGAAACGTGAGAGGCCTGTTTAAATAGCTTTTTTGTGGACCTATATCATGTCTTCCACTTTAAAAAAATAAAAGATGAGATACAGACGAGGAGTTAACATCCTTGATAAAAGCGTTAGAGGGACTCAGCAACCCACTGATGACTGAAAGTGTGATGTCATGACCCTGACAGCCCAGAGAGAGCAAACCAGGACATTTTCCTTCCTTTAAACAGGTGTAGAATAGAGAGATCAGAAGAAATGGCTTATTACCACACACACACACACACACACACACACACACACACACACACACTGATCAGAGCAAAGAGGAATGAGGGGTCTTACTGTATGTTGGAGCTGTTCCAGTAAACGGAATGCCTGTTGGCTGACACCGGGACCACGTCCGCCCAGGTGAGACTCGTTAGCACCCAGAGAGACAGCGCTACCAGAGCCATGCTCTCGGCTCCTCTCTCGGCCTCCGTCCCTTCGGTCTCTCCGGCCACTCTCTCGGTCCCTTCACCCCACCAAACAACGCGACTCAAACATCCCAGCAAATGCCTAACAGACGGGAGAAGGGGGGGACAAAAGCTTCATGCATACATAGAGATACGGTCAAAAGACTATAAGACTTGCTCTGGTTAATAAGTGTTGTAAAAGTCTATTGTGGTGAGAAGTGACTATAAAGTCCCCACCCCCCTCCCGCATAAAGCAGACTGCGACCCCCCCCCTCAACCCCCCTCCTCCCACCCTCTCCAACAAATCCTGGGGCTTCCAACAAGAGGGTTTGTGGAAGTCCTTCTGAGCGGGTCCCCGTAATGACCGACTTGCGCCTTGGTCCTCTCTGCTCACCGGGAACTGCTGCTTCTGAGCCCGCCAGAGGAGTGTGGGAGGCCGGCACTGGGTCCAAGCGGGAGGTCGGTCTTCCTCCGCGCATGAAACGGTCCGCAGGGAAAGAGTTGCTGCTGACGTGAAAAGGCTGACTGGAGGAAAACTAAGAATGGGGGAAAAAAACGGTGGTAAAATAATAGATATTAAGCAAGTCCTCTTCTTTAAAAATAGAAAAACTGTTCTTTATCTGCGTGCTGCTGCAGTTTTTTTTTTTCTTCCAAGTATCCGAGAGATGCAAAGCACGCCGGGCAACTGAGCTCTATAATGGCTGCAAACAATTCAAGCAGCCAGTTTCATTAGCTCTTCAAGACTCTATCCGACAACCATCGTTTACGGTGAGCAGCCTGCCCACCCGTCTCTCCCCTTTCTCTCTCTCCCTCTCTCTCACTCTCTCCTCCTTCTCTCTCTGTTTGGTAGGCAGCGCTCGTTCACTTTCTAACTCCACCCCCTGCGAGCGACAAAAGCGCATTCCTTCAATATTGTGGCCGAGTCGCAGCACATCAGGCATCACTGCGACTTGAAGTTTTTTTTGTCAACTATTCGACCTCCACCCCATAAGTAGTACGCTTTGAATCCCCCCCATCTGCCAGATACGTCTGCAGCCACCCTCTGCAGCCTATTTTTCAATGTAACACCCCTCCTCCTCCCCAGCCACATATATTCACACACACACACACACACACACACACACACACACACACACACACTTTTATGACAAAGGCTAAAAAACATAAACTCTCGCACGCACATATATTCTCCACTATGGATCCATCCACCAGACACTGTAAGTCAGTCTAATACAGCGCTATCATCATGTCCAATCCTCTTACAGCTGCAGCACATTAACACGCGTGCTCACGCGCGCGCGCGCACACACACGCGCATGTCCTCTCACGCAATACACTATAGAGAAAATACACAAGCTGCATATCACACTTTAGGTTCACAGCGATGCTATGGTGACTTTGTCTAAGTTTTGATGAAACAGAAGTGACTTGCTGTTTTATTTAGCAAATTGTCCTATAAATTAATTTTCACACTTAAAATTTATTGAAGCAATTAAGTTGTAATATTGTGTAGAGTTATTTTCGTGCAAGTGTGATGTGGCTCGTGTTATATCTTCCTGTAGCTCTGTCATGCAGAGACATGGTAAAATGTTCAGTAATTTGCCCCCCTCTGTCACCTCCACTGCCACTGCATCCAAGTGTGTGTGTGTGTGTGTGAGAGAGAGAGAGAGAGAGAGAGAGAGAGAGAGAGAGAGAGAGAGAG